TCCACTGTATATAAAAGAGTATAAATTATCTGTCGTTTGCCAACAATGTCACTTTGTATATAGTGTAATTTAAAAAACCCTTATAATTCATATATATATGGATGTTATTATCTTTATTAATAAAGTTTAATCCTTTTTTGTACAGTCAATAAAGTAATTGCATTTTTATATACTTCATAATTGATGATGTCATAATTACAAATGATTAACATTATTACTATTCGAATAATAATTAGTGAAATTCCAAGTAAACGTCAATAATTTAATACTAGTCAAGTGTTTTTCTTGTTAACCACATAGAATAAATCATGTTAAAGGAAAATACATTTCATATCAGAAGGGTTTTTGTGGATATTATAGTAATCTCAATGGTTGAGATCATGAATCAATGCACACTGTTGAGGAGTACCACAATAGAATGAAATGGCCATTCAGTACTCTCAGGTTTTCCATAGTGTTCTAGCTTCAAATGACTCATGATCTCAACCATTGAAAATGCATTTTGTTTATCGTTGAAACATAATCTAAATTAGAATTATCAAATAAAAAAAAACAGGACAATGTGAGAGATTTGACAGCCACATTTTTGTGTGTTGTGAGACTGTTTGGTTGGGCAACAGAATGACTAAATCTGTAAATACTACCATTCTTTCCCACTTGACAGACACTGGATATAATATAAAGAGTTTTTATTCGTACCACACCAACTCCTGAGTAACTTGACGAAAATTCAAAGATTAAGTGTCCATCATGTGGTAGAAATAATCGAAATTAGCTTGAAGAAATTGGACCTGTGTACAAAAGTTATGTATCCAACCTCCATGTTAACTGTAATTCATATTAGGGTCCTTAGCTCTTCAAGACAATCGTATTTTTTAGTATCTAGTATGGAATTTAAAAAAATACCTGCGATCAAATACTAGTAGCCTAAAAATGTTTTCAACTTTCAGATCTCACATGCCATAACCTTAGAGTTAAATAGTGAAAACTGCTGTTTATTATTCTGCGGGGATTCTAAAAGTACATATTTTAATTGTCATTCTATATTGCGCAAGATCATATTGATGATTATAACAAGAAAAAACTACGCTGTAGTAAAATCATAAATTTCTAAATGAGAAAAGATTTCAATTGAAGTTAAAATTATACATAAACTTTCATAAAGGTTGGATTTCTAAAGTGAATACGGATATTCAGTTGTTGAAGTAGTGACCAGAGGTAATAAAAAGTATTCGTGCACTCTTGCAAGAAATGCTCATTATGACCAGAGTATTTTTTTCAATCTCAATAAAACTTAATTAACCATACATAGTACAAACCGATATTTTAATAATTCAATATTTATTTCTTGATTAAATAAGAAAGTAACCCCTTAATTAGGTTTTATTTTCTAATACATTCGGTTTAAGGTTGGAATATATTACATTCGGTGTATAAAACATAATATTCTTTAATACCAATCAATGTATTGAAACTATCCTGTTAATGATAAAACTGAGATGAAAATAGTAGTGACAATAAGATTGTTGTTATGGAAAAATTTCCGACAACATTTTACATTTAAAATAAAATGAAAAATGATATCAGTTCGTGATATGAATACCATGAAACTATACATAAAATGGTCACAAAATTAGCCGGCGTAATAAATAACCATAACATAATCGAAATTGAATTGATATACATAGACTGTACGGTTTTATGTTCAAGGATTTACAACTTTCAGTAGTAAAATAACCACATAATACTTATAAGAAAATATGTATATTTAACACTATTAGACGGACTAGTACACAAAATTTACTATTTTTCAAAGATATAATGTAATAAGTTAAATGCATTTAGAGATATTGTTTGACATTTAATTACAGTCATTTGAACTTCTACCGTTAAATTTGTGACGAATACATTCTTTTACAAATTTTGGATTCATATGCAAAATTCACGTAACCTAACAACCAAAAACAATATTCTGTTTGCCGCTTTTTCATTTGATTTGAAAGAACATTGGTAGAGGGAACAGACATAAAAGATAAGCAAAACAATATATTCGTGTGTTAGTTCACTATACTCAATTAAAATGGGTTTAGACAGGAAATATGTACGTGATCATGGATTGTTGATTATATACAATAAAACGCTAAGCAGATGAATTGATTAGATTAAAGCCTGTAATATTATTTAAATTACTTTTAGTTCCATTTAGGGAAATACAGTTTAACGGATGAATTGTCAAGTTAAATAACTGAATAAAATCAATAAGGGGTCAGCTAATATATCCTTACTAATAATCATATGTTTCAGTGCAATAAAGTTAATTTAGATCAATCTTATTCATTATCTGCCATTGTGTATTTTTCATTTCGCATATATTGGACAACACTTATCACAAAACTAGCACTTTAATTTTAAAAGATACGCTTTACAAAATACTTTCTTGAGAAATTCAATTGAATTCTAAGGGAAGAAAAGTGTAATCTTAAGACCGATAATCTAATACATATTTAATAACTGAGTAGACTCCTCCACACAACATAAGAAACGCTACCACAAGAAGGTGTGTGTAACCAACTAACTTGCAAACATAATCAGTAATTCGTGTTATTAGTTACCCCCACGATCTCAACCGTAGTAGTAGAATATGATAAATTCATTGTATTCAGTTGTCTTCTCTTCAGCCATATACCAACTAATAAGTCTTATCATTTGCAGTTATTAACACAATGTTGCAAAACAAACTGTCAACTAACAATACATGATTTGCTCGAATTGTAAAAGGGGTTAAAAACTGCAGTGTTTAGAACTTATTAACTTGTATGCGACAGAAAAAAAGGACGATGAAATTCAGTCAGTTTATCTTATTCTGCAAATGCTATAGCTCTCACTTTTTTAACTTATGCGAATTGTTGTTTGATATTTTGCCGTGTTCTTTAAAGAGCGATCTTCTTACTGCCAAACGTTAAAAGTAAGGCGTTCTCTTTAAATCGTGAATGAATAGAGAAACACCTATCAATAAATACGATGAACGATACCTCTTTGCTCGTCTTACCTCTGTTAAGTGTAATCAACGAATTTTCATTTTGTGGTGTTTGCAGCACTAATCACCTATATTGACATTCAATGCACTCTATCTTCTTCTTGTAAATGTTAAAAGATCGAACAATGCGTTCATTCTGTACGACGCAATATAATCACAACTACGTTGGCGAAGATTCAATAAACATTTAGCTCAGATTTGTTGACGACTTCGATGAAAACATAAAGCTTTTGCAATAAAAAATAGTTATATCTATAATATTTTGACCGCAGCTGCTACATTTACATAGTTTTCAGGTTTAAATATCATATTAACCCGATCGCGCTATGTCAGTCGGTACAATGTTTATTTCAGGTCCAAACATTTCAGACAGGCCGGCTGAGAATCGGTGAAACTGAAAGCAGTAACTCGAGTTTTGAGAATGAAGTCGTACAACCGGGTGTACAGAGATGTGATGACAGTAAAATATGTTGCTCTGATAACTAGAAACTACAGTGGTGTCGCCCAAGCACAAAGAAAGAAGGGAGTTAAAAACACTCGGCTCTTAAAACACCAAACTTCATATAACTCGGTGAAACTATATCTCTGATAGTTAGGCCTTTAGACGTACAAAGCTAACGAATTACAAATCTCCCACGAACAGCTAATGTGTGACTGGCCTCAAAAAAGTATTCCCTGGGCTCTGCTACCATATTTCCAGTTTAGAACGACTGATACCGTTCCAGTTTACTTTCACGGCAGCCCAAGAAAACACACCTTTATGTATTGTGAGCGACCGCAAAGTGATATCAAGCTTCATACCTCTAAAATTACTGGAGATTCTCTTTTGGTGACCGGTCCAACTATTTATATCAGTTACTTGGATTTTATCGGCTAACAACTGGGACCGCCTGAAGTGTTTGTCAAGACAAATGTAACTAAGAATTGGATCGACCGTCTATTAAGCTCTGTGATCAAATACACGTAAAGATTGTAAAATTTTGGTTTCTAAATAATTTTTGTGACTGTTTTTTCCTATCAAATCTCATATACTTTGCATATGTTTACCTACTGTTCTAAAGAATATTCAGCATATATATTTACCACCTTGTTTCTGTTACAAAAATACCTTTATCATCAGTTGTGATCTGCATGACATCATTCTTTACAAATACATTCTTTATATGTATTAAAACTTATAAGGCAAGAAAGTAAAACCTTCGGTAAATCTGCTGCTAATATTTTTCAATCAGGTCAAAATTTGACACCTAAATAATGAGGATAAATGGTAACTGCTTTATGTATGCCATTTTAGATTGTAAGCGGCTATACTGTATACCAAATAAGAGTATGATACAGACAAACTAGATACAGTTTACATAAATCAGGAACAATCATACAAAATGCAACCGAACAGTTTCTAGTGTTTTTATTGTGCAATAAAGTTGGATCGCAGTTAAAAACAAACGGCCTACCCTGTGGGTTGATCCAGCGAAAGAGGCACATTAATCAGCGCAAAATTCAAGAGTCATTTAAAAAGGACCTATTCCGTGTTAACTGATAATAGGAGATGCATTTCGAAATAATAATAGCAAAAATTGTATGAGGCAAGATCAGTATCCAAGTGCCGGTGGAAAGCCTTTTACTGATGCCAATTCACAGTCTACATTGCAAGGCCAGTTCGAGCAGATAATTGTTTAGCAGTTGGATAATAAGGAGAATGGTCAGCAATTCTGAAATTCTTAACAATGATAAATGTGCTCCTTGTTAACAAACAAGGGAGGAATCTAGCACTTTAAATGAAATGGTTTCTCAGTCTATTTCTTTAAATCAAAGGTGTTTTGATTTTTCACAGAAGTTCCGTTGATATCATTATATGGATGTGTTTGAAACAGTTCAATATATCCGAGGTCCAATAAGAATATAAACAATAATAGTGCGCAAAAGGGCTAAAAAAATACCAAAATGCTCACTATAAACTAACCTGCAAAATGTATAAAATCATCAAAATACAAATCCCTGAAATATCATCTGAAGGTCTTATTCTTTTTCTACCTGGCTTCTTTTGGCATAACATAGTCATATATAAACAGTCGTCAAGACACTTCTGAAATCGAGTGGATCAATATTTTATCGATAAATTTTTATCATTAAGAGTTAAATTTCTGGATTCAGCATTAAATAAGTATATTGCAAATGACCTAATTTCCAAGTAACAGAGAGTGTTTTTGAAAATGTAACAGACTCTAAAAGTAAAAAAAGTTATATGTAGTGAATAAAAACAAATTCTTATGGGATTAAAAATAAAGGGCTTGAACAATTTCTGCAGACATTCGTCTTTAAATTCACACAATACCGAAGAATTGATGTATGAGTAAGGAATTTCATTTTCGGACATTTGAAATTCTCGGCTTAAATCGGTCTTCAGTAATAAGGATAGTAGGTTGGTGGACTTGTGTTAATTTTCAAAGCTTGTTTTTCAGTTAAGGTGCAGCTTTTCGTCGAACATCACTGATGTGACTGATAATGCCTGCCCGGGTAAGGCGTCCTAGTCATTGGAACAAAACAATTATTATTCCATGAGAAATATATCTTGATTGTATGAAAAAGTGCAAGACTTTATATAGGCGCTTTAAACTCAGTCGCGATCGACTGCTGCATACGAAGGACTCTTTAAAGTACTTCACTGTGAACATAAGTTTTATACTATCGATAAGCATGGAGCTAGCGATTATGTCAGAGTTTGAAGGCCTCTTACTTCGAAGAAAACCCTATCTTACGTTGAATTTCTTACTAGACAATTGAAGAATACAAGTCTTACGACTATGACGAAACTTGGCTGGTGTTTAATAACTACCCTAGAACAACCCGCTTTTGAAGAACCGTAAGGTCTCCAGAAAACCTAAACAACTACAGCACGTGGGGAATTGTGTAAGTTTTTGTTTTGTCTCGTCTGTGTGTCTCACAACCACTTAACTGTATTCCCTTTTTTTATCATTGTTGCGAAAGCGAAAACTCAAAAAATGGTTCTTCTAATATTCATATGTATGTGTACGTATGCTTTAATAAAATTTCAAAAACAACCTTTCAGTGTCCAATTTTTTCCCACCGTCGCATAGTATATATGCGCATATACACCAGCTTTTGCACACTTTGGATGCTAACACAAGTATGAGTGGATGTAGATATGCATTTGCATCTTAGTTGTTTCTTTACCAGAACAACTGGGAAAGATGAAACACTGATGACTAATACAATGAATCGAGGTTTTCATTACACAATTTCTGGCTGTTGTACCACATTGCTTCTTACAGTGGAGAAAGACAACTATATATTGGTTGGCACATGGTTGACATATTTACCAGCGGCAAGCTCGTCGAACTCAAACTTCTGGCTGTTAAATCCCAGGGTCATCACATCCGTGTTAGGATGGTAATGAGCTTTAGAAACAAATAAATTCCCGAAATAAATAGTTCTATAAGTCTCCGACATCGCTGCTGACCTTATTAGTTTTTAATTCACTTAATTCTCTTTATTATCTTAAAGAGAGCTAGAACAAAGATTGGTGCTGCACTAATCTTTGTTGTGTGGGCGTTTTCCAAGGAACCAAATGAACGGTTCAAGGAAGACAATTAAACGTGAACACGCAGTCACAGTTTAGTCACCTCATCCAAGTGGCCCTATCTTGCAATGACAAGCGCAGTGTATAAACGTTGCTTCCGTGTAAACAATGATGAATTATAAATTGAACTGTATATTAAGACATTGAAAGATTACACATGAATTTTTCGCGGAATATTTAGGTTTCATATTGTTCTTAATCGCAATTGTATATTTGATGTGTTCATGCGAAAATCGAGGACTCTGAACTACTGCTATACTTGTACTTCACGACGACGGATGGGCTTCTTATATAAGCAGTTAGCCTATCAATCTTGCTAAACAGATCGGTAAGCGTCTGAAAAATGACTAGAAATGTTTGGTTCTCATTGTATAGCTTATTGGCATGATATTTAGTATGAGTGTAATGTATGTGTAAACAGCAGCTTCGGAAGCAACTAGAAGCGGTAGTGAAAACTTTCCTGTTTAGATGAATCTCCTCACAGGCATGTACTTAATAGATGTTTAGAATTTCCCAGCCAAAATATTGGCTACCAAATACTCAACTGCAACAACTTTGACTTCAATTTCAGAAACATTTAGTGTAGGATCCAAACCACGTTTGGACTGCTGGACAGCTGCCTGGATAAGTTGGATACGCGCCCTCGCCCGTTTGAAACCAAAACAAGGTAATTGGGTAAGATAGTGGTTCTATAATTTATCATAAATTTAAGTGTACATTATTACCTAAACAAATATAACCACTCAGCTATCCAACCAATAATTGTTTAATTGATCAAATATAAACTATAATAAATAAGAACGTTGATAAAGGATGCAAGAAGATTACCAATCACCACAAATAAATGTTATTCTATCCTGTCTGGATAGATCACGTACAGATTCGTCCAAAAGGTAATAATTGGTCGCTCTATAACACAGAGTGTTTTCAATTCTGGAAGAGTGCTTCAATTCACAACAAAAATGCACAATCCCAGTCAACGCAGGTCAAGCAACCAAAAGCAGGAACAAACCAAAATGGCTGCCGCCAAGACTTAGTATAAAGTAAAACAACATAAGTGCAGTTCGGGAAGAAACATGGGGAATTAGTGAAGGTGTGGTAAAAACGAAACTATAATAAAATACAAATATTAACAATTCAAATGTAGTCAAAAGTTAACAATGTACAACTAAAAGAACCAATAGGAACAAAGTGTAAGTATATACATGGAGGGATTTTCACAAACACACAAAGCACTCAAAAATGGATCTTACATTTAGATCTTCGGAAGTGTACAATTAGTCGTTCATTTTTTGTTTGACAGCTATAGCAACAAATTTATTGCACGTTTATCACTACCTCTTCAGCTTCTCAGTTTTACACACCTGAGTGAATGATACCATTATTCCCTTGGCTATCCGGTAGTCATCCAGAAGCACATAGTTTTAACTGATGTCATGTTACCACTATGATGTAATACGACAGATGTTCGCGAGGAAGAGCACCCATTTGGATATCTGTAAACGTACCATCATCCCCGTAAACAAAAATTGCTAACCACTTGCTAGGGATAAATAAAACATGCTTTCGTTCGTCGTCATTAACAAGGACGTACTGTTTGGGCTGATGCTATTAATCAATGAGATGCCGTTAGGAATTACATGTAATTTTCTGACTGCACTTAAGCTATTTCCATTCAAATCCAACAGATTAGCATCTGCTTGGTGAAATAGTTAGAATAGAGTAGAGCAAGCACTTTTCACCTTCATAAGGGTGATTGTGCTTTCTTTTTGGCAAGATCCTATCGATATCCATAGTCTTCAATTCAAAACGTGATAAATTTTAACCTACATAATCGAATACGTTGAGGGAATTCCAAGGGTCTGAGATGCTACGGTCATTCGTTTTCAGTCGGTAGTGTATTAGTTCTCAATATGGTCAAGAGAACGGCATTGTGGGATTCGTCGGGTGAGAATCAGTTCCGAAATCAGCTTGAGAAAATGTGTTTTATTAACCGATTGCCCTTTGTAACCCTACGAAAATCAAAGAAAACGGAAATTGATTTGCTCTCGGAAAGTTTCATCTTGGATAGAAGGTTCTACATTGACGTTATACAAAAAACCATACGGGTAATAAAAATTGCCTCAAAAAAACCAGTCAGTTTGTATATTTGATTTTACCCTTTGCAAAACATCACTGTCAGAGCACATGAGCTAAATACTTCGTTGTCCTCAATATCCAAGTGACATTAATCCTACATTAGAGCACATCCTTTATCTCCAATATATATGCTGATAACAAATTTATTTTTATATAAACAATCTATAGAAAATATTTTTATTTTGTAGTATATAACGATAATAATTTCCTCTCGGACAACGATAAGTTATGTAAGGGACCCCAGTTAACCAATGAAATGAAAGTTGTGTAAATGTCACTGTGGTAAGTTATTTAGTTAAGTTTACACCTTACAATATATACACTCAAACAACACAAAGGAATATATTTTAATCCGTTAGAATATAGTTGAAAGTAGTAAAACTGGATTGCGTAATGTCAAAGCGTCTAATGGATGTTATGTTGCAGGGACCAGCTAGTGGTCAACTAGCAATGTAAATAAGGTTCACATCTACTTCTAAATATAGAAACTTATCGTTTAGTTAAAAGTGCCAGTTCTAACATATCGCTCTCTGCTTCTTGTAAACGGTTTCAAGGTAACTTTCGAAGCAGATTTCTGGTAGAATGAAGTATATATATTTTCCAAATATCTGGAGCCTAAAATGAGACGTCCGATGGAGTTATGTACATCATATACTTGTTTTCGGCGGTATATCATGAAGATGTTTAAAAAGAATTGGAGGAACAGGAAAAACACAGACAGCGTAATACGTGTCAGAGGGAAATAAGGATGTGTTAAACATCCATGTGAAATTGTCCAAAAATTTGCCTTCAACGCTACCACAGAATTTATTAGGCGTCATTGATGGTCACTTTTCGCGAGCATATTTGTGTTTGTATAAATCTCTTTACGTATAACCTCCATTTAAGAACAGGAATATGTTCCGCCTAATATACGATGTTACATCCATCAATCATGCATTTATGTGTGTCACGTCTATGTTTCAGTCCATTTGAAGTTGTTATTATTACTTTACCAGCAGTTTTTAGTTTAAACTAACGCTTTGGTGTTGTTTGGCATTTTGCTGACAATGTTAATTTCGTATTTTCCGACTTTCGACTGGAGTCATGTGTCACGTAATTTTCCAACTTCTACCTCATTTCTTAACTGCATGATAGATGTCCACTTCCTTGCAAACAAGGCTTTATTTGCACTAGAGTTTATTTTTATCTACTATTGTATCAGTTGACACATGAGTCGTCTAGGAAACACAAGATGTCAAAATCTAATCGAAGAGTGGTGTGAGAGAAGTGATGCGTTCGTAGGCGTTTTACTAACCGATACTGTGTAATTTATTGGGAGATGATATCTCATCGAATGGTCAAAAATCGTGAATCGAATGGCGAAAACCAAGAACCGCTTCATGAATGTCATTTACATTTGCACATTCGGTTAAAAGCTCAAGCTTCAAGGAACAACTTGAGGCGTAAAAATGTAATTCGCTATCATCATGGTGGAAATC